AAGGATTTATTACAGCAACTGAACAACATTATCATTATAATACTGATTATTGTTTTTATTATTAATCATTACTAGACAATAGTGCAGTGACCCTTTCAAAGTAGATCAGGTATATTTTCATGTTAGACTACTTAGCAATTTCCAGAAGGGCAGAAAGAAGTTTGTCTATTTCATGTCTCTTTTAGACTACCGTATTTCCGGCGTATAAGACGACCCCCTAATTTTTACAGTTAAAACATAGGTTTAGGCCTATATTCGCTGTATAAGACTACCCCCCACTTCAAAGAAAAGACTTACTTTGCCGTCAAGATCTGCAGGTAATTTTTGTGCAATTTTGGTCTTTTGCCCCCGATTTTCCGTTGACTTTTTTTTTTCATTTTAAAAGTCGTCTTATATGCCGGAAAATAAGGTATGCTAAACTTAATCCAAAAGGCATCAGAAAAATAACTGTTTGTTATGCACCTCTTCAAATAATAAGAACAGATCTTAACCCAGGTTAAGTTAAATGGTAAATGGAACAGATGTAGATAATTATATAGGTTGTGTAGCATAATATTCTCATACAGGGACCAAGAAACAACACAAAAAAAGACAGCTTTGCATGGCGCAAACTCAACTGTGATGCATCCATAGGTCATTGTGGACCACCATTCCAAAAGGTGGCGACATTGGCCGTAACTAACCTAACATTGTTTCATAACGTGTTGCAGAATGGAGAATTTAGAGTAATGTTGTGTTAGTTATTCATTCTGCTGAAAAGAGACATAAGGGATTTTTTTTTTTAAAGAGCTATCCAAAAAAGCATTAAAGATGATGAGTGTGCGGAACAAGGTCTGTGGAAGCTTATTCAGCGAGACAGATAACAGCAGAGATGGGATGTAATCATCTGCCGGAATATGATGATGCCCAGAAAAGAAGCAACAGAATGCCTCTGATCCATTGTCATTTAATATCTCCTTTCGTGTTTCTGATTTTGTGAGAATTTTATCTTTATATTCTTTGTGATTTCCAAAGGCAGCACTTGTTCCTTAAAAGAAGAGATTATGCTTTTTCTTTTGTGTGTGTGTGTGTGTGTGTGTGTATTTTTATTTTTTGTTTTGTTTTGTTTTTAACAATCCAATGTTAATGAGCCCACAATCTTCAGTACACAATTTTAGGGATTTCCTAATCATGTAGACCCAGGACAAGCCTGAGGTCAATGAAATTATTTCAGTGTTAATCAGCTTACCAGTAATCCACAACCGTCAGACCAATTTAATGAAATTTCAAATCCCCAATCTATCACCAACCATGCAATTTAATTTCCTTATCTATAAAATGAGGGTGAGAATAGGACTCTTGGGATGATAAACGACTCATATGCAAGAAGCTCTTAGAACAGAGCTTGCCATGTCAAGCACTTCAGACAGGTTGCACCTTTGCTGTAATTCGCTTGGGTCAGTAGGGCAGGCACACTGCCAGTCCCCTGTGCCTGGGGTACTTATCTTTTTTCCCCCTTTGGAAAGATTTTATTCCTTTTTTAAATTATTTTTTGAAGTATTACAAATAGTGGTACATATTTCTCCTTTTTCCCCCCATTCACCCTCCCCCCAGCCTCTCCTACCACCACCCTGCCTCCCCCCAGTGCATTGCCCTCACCTGCCCCTGCCCCAGTGTCTTCTATCCATTGGTTATGCTTAATGCATGCATACAAGTCCTTCATTTGGTTGATCTCTTAAAACCGCCTCTTCCTCGCCAACCTCTTCCACTTTCCTGCTGTAGTTTGGCAGTCTGTTCAATGCTTCTTTGCCTCTGTATCTATTTTTACCCCATTTCTTTCCTTTAAAAATCTTGAGCAAACCTTGTTCATTGTCCTCCCTCCTTCCCTTCCATTTACCCAGGTTCTGCTTTTTCCTCAAAGTCTAGTCTGAGAAGTGATGGAGTAGTAAAACTGTCAAGAAAAACGGAAGTTTTAAAATCTGAGTATGTCTTCTACAAACAATGAAACTAAAACTCAGAGAAGTAGAGACAAAGAGTGGAGAGAGGAGAGAGGGGGATACTTGGGTTACATAAGACTTTAGCTTTCCAGGTGGTCTTTGGCTTCACTCAACATTCTCACAGCTCCCCTATTTTGGTTAAATTGCAGAGCTTAGGCAAGTCATTGTGTGCAGCACAAGAGAATGCTGTTAAGAAATCAAGTCAGTGGAGCACCTAAATATGCCCTGGTGTATGGACAGGCAGTGTCTTATAGTTTAGAAATTAATTGACTCCTGCATATGCTTTGCCTTCCTAAAATGTAGGATCCCCAGGACTGGTGTTACACCATATTATTCTGTGAGGGAGGTTAAAGCACCCAGCAAGAGAATTTGGAGAACATAAATGCAAGGGAGTCACAGTCTGTTTTGTATCCTTCTATCACAGACATCTCATCACTTTTGTCATATTTTATTAATTACTAGCACACTACTAGGTCCAGTGTATCTTCAAGAGAATGGGATAATATAAGAGCATGGACAGGAGGCAGGCATATTGAAGGCCATTTTTTAGGTTACCTACCACCATATTTCACTGTAGTGTTGTTACATTTTTCTGATTATTCCTTGGACATCTTTTCTTATGTTTTGGGCCATTAAGGTTTCTGTTTTGTGAACTACTTATTTATATTTTTTTCTTGATTTTCTATCTAGTTTTATGTTCGTTTGATTTACTCTTAATTTATACATATATTAGAGGCCCAATGCATGAAATCCATGCAAGGGGCTCGCCCCCACTGCCATGGTGGCAGCCAGGGGCCTTACCACATCTGCCTCAGCCCCCACCACTGTGGCTTCATCCAGAAGGTCATCTAGAAGGATGTCTGGTCTAATGAGCATATTATGCTTTTATTATTATAGATACTTTAAATTAGGGATGTCGAACTCAATCAGAGAAGGGGCCAAAATCTAAAATCCAGCCTAAATCGCGGGCCGAATGGTTTACTGAACAGTCATAAACTGTCATTGTGATGGAAATGCAGCGGAGTGCAGTGATGACAGAGCGGTGCGGGCCACATTGCAAGGCCTGGCGGGACGGATTTGGCCCGCGGGCCTTGTGTTTGACACATGTGCTCTAAATACTAATCTTGGTTGGTCTTATGAGGTACAACCCAGTCACTCTTTAACCCACTTTAACTTGATATTCTTTCTCACTCTTTTTCCTTGCCCCTTTACAATAACCACTCTTGTAAAGTCATCATTGATTTTTATAATGTTAAATTCAATGGATGATTTTCAGCAACCATCTTAATTGACTTGGCAGCATTTAATACAGATGAGTAGTTTCATTCATTTATCTTAAAAACATTTTTTTGTGTGTGTGTGCCATAACTTTGTCAGGTATACTATTTGTTCTTGACATTTTTACAACATTACCAAATATACTTTTTTGTCTTCCACTATAGCTGCTATTTGTCAGATTTTGCTGATTTTTCTACTTTTATATGACCTCAAAATATTTGAATTTATCAAGATCATCCCTGACAATTTCTCCCTGGTTATTATAGTTAGTCCTATGGATTTACATCTATCATCTATAATAATAAAAGTGTAATATGCTAATTAGACCAGACGTCCTTCTGGACAACCTTCCAGACAAAGCCAATGTGCCTCATACCTACCAGCCAGCCTGTTGATCACTTAGCCTTTTATATATATAAACTAGAGGCCTAATGCACAAAATTCGTGCATGATTACACCTTCCTTTCCCTGGCTGCTGCCACTGAGTCCCAGGTGACAGCCAGCAGCCAGAGGGAAGCCCAGGTCCTAGGTCCCAGGTCCCAGGTGCCAGAGGGAAGCCAGTGTCAGCAGCCAGGGAAAGGAAGGCCTAATTATGCACGAATTTTGTGCATTAGGCCTCTAGTTTATATTGTATATATATAAAAGGCTAAGCGATCAGCAGGCTGGCTGGTAGGTATGAGGCACACTGACCACCAGGCAGCAGAAGCTCAATGCAGGAGCCTCCAGCAACAGCAACTTTACAAAGTGCCCTCATGCACTCCAGGACCCCTCGGAATATCAGACTGCCTGCTTCAACCCAATCCCCACAGGCCAGTCCCAGGGACCCCCACCTGTCAGAGGTACCCTGCTCACTCTGCAGACACCCTTCAAGCCCCATTGCTGGCCCAGGTATGGCTGGCCAGGAAGGGATCATGGGAGGTTAGGGTCAGGGTGTGTGTGGCCCATTTCACCCAGTCCCAATCCCTAGCCACCTTCTAATTCATTTCCCTTTAATGTGCATGAATTGGTGCACTGAGCCTCTGGTTATGATAATAATTCTAAAATATCTCCAACACAGTATCACAAATCTTCTATATACTGTGTTCACTTAGATTTATCACAAGCTTTCAAGATGTAATTATGTCTGAAATTTTGGACATTCTTGTTCCTGGATGTACCAGTTGGTGATACCAGAAAAAATAGAAATTATCTATGACAACTTATCTCTAAAACATCAAATTACAGGTATATTAATAACTCCAACTTCTTCTATTTACTCATACCTCTTCACCCTTCAGCTATCACCTTAACAAACTAATTTCTTCTTTTTCTAAGTTTATGCCATTTCCATTTTGCTTATATTTTCCTGCTTTTTAAAACAAATAAACAGAAAATCCATTGAATTTTTAATATAAAACCAATTTATTTTTAAATATAAAATAATTTGAATGCTAAAATAATGCAGTAATTTTCTGAAAATTTTCAATTGTGTTATTTTAAACCTTCAATGAGAGACCTCATTGATAGACATTGCACTTAGTGCTTAACCACACTAGCCTTCCTGCAATGTTCCTCCTCAATTTCCCTTCTCTGTTGCTCTAGTCACAGTGGATTTCTATCTTTTCCTGTAAAATTTTAAGATATTTTCAGGCTAAATATTTTTGAACTCATAGTTTTGTCTGCATGAAAACAGCTTCCCCCTTTTTAAAAAAGTATTACTTGTCCTTCTGGCCTACATTAAGTATTCTAATGTCTGTTGCATGACATTATTTAGTTTTCCTTCCTATCACATTACAAATTTAATTATATTGTAGTTCATAGTTATTTTTGGAACTGTTTGATTATCATTTGGTTAATCCACAGACTATGGTCATATAAAAGCTAGTCTCACATCATAATGGTTTCACATCTCTAGATCCTTAAATATTACTTGGCTCATAGTTGGCACTGAATTAATATTTGTTCAATGAATTGCTGAATCTACTACCGGTTCCAGCTCCAGAGACGTTTTTAATCCCATTGGTGCAAAATTAAAGGAAACACAAAATTGAAAACTAAAATGTGAGTCATGGTCATTAAGAATACTCTGGGGAAAGTTTCATAACCTTCCCAGCCATCCATTTCCTCAATATTAAAAGAAGAGCTTAACCTAGATCAAGTCTAATGTCGTTTTTACCACTAAAATTAAACATTCTAACTGCTGGCTCAGGAAGAAAGAGAAATCAATGTGCTCCCAAGTAGTCACGGAAAACTTCATGAAGAAGTTCTTTATGATAAAAGCTATAATAGATGGGGAAGATGTAGAAATGATCATAGGTGTTCTGAGATAGTGAGACAAACCAGCTGCCTGGATTTTGGGATTCTTGTGGCAGAGATGATTCTCATTTTCTAAGGCACCTAAACATGAGGACATAGGTTTTGAATTGTTTTGAGTTGTTACAAAACATTGTGAGGTTTTGAACAGTGGTGCATCATTGATTGTAGATTATTTTAAAAATAAAATACTATGGCCAAAACCGGTTTGGCTCAGTGGTAGAGCATCGGTCTGCATACTGAAAGGTCCCAGGTTCGATTCTGGTCAAGGGCATGTACATTGGTTGCGGGCACATCCCCGGTAGGGGGTGTGCAAGAGGCAGCTGGTCGATGTTTCTCTCTCATCAACGTTTCTAGCTCTCTATCTCTCTCCCTTCCTCTCTGTAAAAAAAATCAATAAAATATAAAAAAATAAAATACTATTCAATTAAAAAAAAGTATTGATTTTTTGGCTATGTGCTGGGCACTGCTAGGCGCCAGGGATAAAAACATGAATAAGACATGCCCCTGGTCTAAATGTACCTCATAATAGTGAGTGGCATTTCTATAAAATAGGTAGTTACAATATTACATACAAAGTGAATGTATAAAGATGAGAATATATGTATAACTAAAATCCAATGGTTCATAAGTACTTCCAAACAAAAGAAGTGTTGTATGGTGGGGAGATCATGTCCTTTCATGGGCATACTCTTTGAAGAAGCAAGACTACTTCTGGGAATCTGGCCATTTTGGAGAGATGCAGATGTAAATTGCAGATAATTTACAGCTGAGTAACTTTAACTCTTTACATCACCTCTCAGTTTTTTTTTATAAAATAAAAAATAAAAGATAGATGAAAGAATTGAAAGCATAAATGTTAAAAATGTTGGAAAACCAGATCAATATTCAAATGAAACTGAGTACACAGTTAAAAGTAATTAGTGAAAAAATGAAGCACAATTTAATCAAAGATGTAAAGCCGCATGCTTCCCCATTTTTGAAAAATTAAACATATAACTTCTGCTAAAACAAATATGTATACACTAGGTAAATTTAAGATAGTTGAAATCTCACTTCTCTGAGTCAAGCATTTTTAAGTATATAGCATGTGTTATCTCATGTAATACTTGATAGCCCTTTTAAGATGGGTACTATCATTAGTCTCATTTTAAACCCAAGGAACTGTGACACTAAGAGGTTAAATAGGTTACTCAAGGTAACCTAACTCATTATGATTTGAAATCAAGGACTCTAGATCATGAACATGACTTTTTAATACTACTGTATGTTCTATAATCTCTATAAAAAATAGAAGTCTATAAATGATGAATAAAGGTTATAATATTAGAAAAAAAATCTATGAAAATTGTTTATAGCCCTGGCCAGTATTTCTTGGTGGTTAGAGCCTCATCCCACACACAAAAAGATTATGGGTTTGAATCCAGGTCAAGGGCAAATACCTTGGTTATAGGTTCAATCCCCTGGTCAGGGCACATGGGGGAGGCAACCAATCAGTGTGTCTCTCTCACATAGGTCTCTCTCTAACCTCCCTCCCTTTCTTCTACTCTTTTTAAAAAATTATAGAAAAATATCCTTGGATCAGGATTAATAAAAAACTGTTTTATAACTCTGAGTAGAAAAAATTCTCCCTAGGAGGATTTAGCAAGAACCAAAGCCATAAAGTACAAGTGCATAAATGTTATTTCAAAAAAATTTCAAAAAGTACTGTATTGTGAATGATGCTTGAACAATAAAACAAATGTAAGAACAGAAAGAAATATTTGCATGTTGTATAAATTATGTTAAAATCATTAATATAGTTTCCAAAAATCTCAATAATAATAGAAAAGAGATGAAATATAAAACGCCAATTGACAGAAAAATAAAAACAAGTCCCAAAACATATTTCAAATGCATGTTCAACATGAGAGTGGAAATACAAATCAAAACAAAAAAAGAAAGCAGTTAAGGGCACCAGTATATTTTATTGCTATGTATATAACTTGGCTCCATGTTTTCAGGAGGGCAAATTCTAGTATCTATCAAAATGCTTGATGTGCTTTTTCTTTGATAAAACAAATATTTTCTAGCAATCTGCTCAGCACAATATAGTTTGTAGTAGTTAAGGATTTTGCTCTCAGAAAAACCTGGGTTTAGTTTCCTGCTATTCCATTGTTATATGTGTGCCCTTGAAAAAATTCCTTACTTTTATAAGAAAACAAGAGGCCCAATGCACGGAATGTGTGCAAGGGTAGGCCTTCCTTCCTCTGGCTGCCGGCACGGGCTTCCCTTTGCCACCCAGGACCCTGGCTTCATCCAGAAGGTCGTCCAGAAGGACAACTGGTCTAATTAGCATTTTATGCACTTATTATTATAATTTCCTCTTTCATTTCAAAACAAAATAGCAATAGCAAAATTGCCTCACAGGATTATTCTGTCAATTAAATTAAATCATGCATGTAAAGCAATTTAACCCATCTTAGGAATTGATAAATGTTAAATATTATGATTATTATTAATTACACTATAAATATATTTTAAGTGTGAAGGATAGGTTTATGAGAATGTTTATTATACCATAAAAGTAATAATTTTATTAATAGTATTTAATGTGCTTTTGGAATCACTGCAGTTATTTTTGTAAAATTGTGAAGAATACGTTGGTTCTCAGAAGAAAGGAGGTAGGCAAATGTTGCTCTATGTGAGTAAAGTGACATATGCAATGGATGTAGATTCAGAAAATCTGTCATAGTAATAGGTAAGCCTGAAAATGGTTACTGAGTAGGCACTTTTATTTAAAAGGATACAGTAAACACTATTGAGTCACACAAATTCATTTTTAAAAAGTGAACTTCTCTTTCTACAAGAAAGCGTTGAGTTGGCATTTTAAAACATATTTTTTCTTTCAGAAAAACATACACTTTTTCTAGTTATGAGTGCGAGTGTGAAATATGACTGGGCAGTAGTATGCTGTGATGATGCCGATGCACTACTAAGGATGGACGGGAAGGAATTAAACACATGGCAGTTAGTTTGGATGACTATCACACATTCTGCTTAACATTTTTATCAGAGTTAGGAGAGTTTTCGGAGGTATGAATCCTACATTTGCAATCTCACAAAATCGCATAGGGTGAATTATATAGATGATGCAATCGAGATTTTAAAATGAAGGGATTTAAGGCAGTATATTAACATCAACAAGATATTATTTTAAAAAGATAACTGTAAATTGCTTAAAGTTCAAAATATTAATTGCACATTATAGAAGTTCATATGACAAACTATTATTATACACCAAAGGATGGTCCCACATTGTAATGGACCTGTTTTTTGGTGTGTTTTTAACATCCATATTGTTTTACCCATTTGTCATTCATTGAAGTGTTGAAATTATTGATTTCCATTTTGGATACCACATTTTAAAAGAAACATGTCCAGAGGGAATGTGAAGGTGTGTTACAGACTTAAGAGTGGAAGGAACTAGGAATGCTTCCTGTGGAGAAAGGAAATGGAGGGGAGACATGGTCAGTCTCCTCAAACACCAAGGTTCTTTTCCATGCAGAATGGGAAACAGAATTGTGGGCACAGCTGAAAGCTTCAGGAAAATGAGATTCATTTTAGAACAGGCTTTCTCACAATGAGATGTTCAATGCTGCAGTAAACTTGTTTAGTATTAAAATTCTCGTAGCTGGAAGTACTTAAGTAGACTGTAGGAAAACTGCCTTCTGGGTTGTAGAAGACACTTCGTTTACAGGAGAAAGTTGGATTGAATTTCTTCTAAAATTTCTTTTATGCATAGAGGTATGGTAAAGTGAAGGAAAAAAAAATAAAGGCAGAAGACTTCCACATCAGACTTACTCTCCAACTCATCTGTGTTTTAAGGCAATTTAACTTACAGTGATGTACAAGAATGTTTGGAGGGAGGTAAAAGAATTTCAGTTAATGACACCCAAAAGGAAGAGTTTCAAAGTAATTTTGCAAATTCAGGTTTTTTCAGTAGACTTGGTGCACTGAGACTCTTCAAATCAGGTGACTGAATTCCAGAGACAGGAATCTCTGATGATGAACATTAATCTCCACTAATAATTTCCAGTTACATTTTTAAGTCCCATTCACCCCCCATCAGCCATGCCCTGTTTATTTTGTAGTTCTTTAATAGTAGCATTATAGTCAAAGAGATAAAATCTCTGTGACTCCATGTACTCTCCTTTTAGTAATCATATATCTCGTTTTTATTAATTGTTCCCAGGTTGAGCCACTCAGGTTTTCTCTATAGAACACTGATGCTCTCTGGGATTCAGAAAAAAAAAAGTTAAAATAGATATACTGTAGATGTTTTTCAAACCAGATTACATGAATCTAGGTACAGAAAACATTAGTTTTAGACCCAAGTATTATTATTTCAGGCCTTTGATCACAAAAGATTTTTCCAGTTTGATTTTTTAACCTCTGTTTCAGAAATCAGAGCTCTCAAGAGCTTT